CGCGACCCACCCGCGCCCCGCCTCGCGACCGGCCCCGCCTCACGACCCATCCGCGACCCTACCGCGACCCTCCGGCGACCCGCCCCGCAACGTCGTCGGCGCCAATGGCGGATTCGTCACATTGGCTTTCGAGCCTGGCACACCGCCGGCGAGCATGGCTCATTCACTTTTATCCGCCACTGCGCGGGTTATTGTATTGCGGGGTGTCCCACGTAGAAGCCTCGCCACGGCCGAAATAAGCTGGCGAAGATTGCGCGCATAATGACGAAGAAGGGTGGCCTCGATCCCCCACTCGGTGTTTCGGGGATGGACAGAACCCCCTTTAGCAAAACGTGGTTTAGTGAAAACGACCTCGGGCCCAAATCTGGCGGGCGAAAGCCTGGAAACTGACGGCCACGGCGCCCTCTCGAGAACCGAAAACGGACAATTCACTAATCGACGTGTCACTATTGGGGGTTCTGTCCAGCCCCGAGTGTTGATGTTTTGGGGGGCAGAGTCGTGGATAATGTGGTTCAATTCAGCTATGCTTTGCGCCCTGAGCGCCCGCAATCACCCATAGTAGCAGCAACGCCCATGATCTTTGGGAGGGCCGCGCGGATGTTACCCACTCGCGCGCGTATAGCGCGCGCCGGAATCACCGCCAGGGGGCGCCAGCGCTTATTCAAACAATACACACCGACATCCAGAAGTTAAGTGTCATATCGGTGCTGTCATTCGATCGCCATCATCGTCACCAACAACAACAGCATCACCATCAACATCCAGATTTTCACCCTCATCATCATGATCGCCACCACCACCATCATCACCACCATCATCAGCATCAGCAGCAGCATCATAAGCATCATCATCATCAACAGCACCAGCATCAGCATCATCCTCATCATCATCACCATCGTCGTCAGCATCACCACCACCATCACTTCCACCTTCACCACCACCACCATCATCGTCAGCATCATCATCGCCACAACCATCACAACCATCTCAACCATCATATTCATGGTCGTCCTCGTCATCGTCCTCGTCATCGTCATCATCGTCGCCATCATCATCAGCATCGTCATCCTAATCCTCATCACCAACAGCAGCAACAACACCAGTATCATCAACATCATCAGTATCATTCTCCCCATCATCCTCATCATCATCATCCTCGTCATCATGTTTCTCTTTATTGTCATATCCATCCTCATCCACATCCTCATCAAACTAATCACCGCCATCATGGATGGCATCACGTTTTACAAACGCTACCAAAGAGCTTTGTGTGCGCATGCGCGCCAGGTTTAGCTTGCCTTGCTTTGCAGGCTGGCAAGGACCCCAATGCTTCAACAGCAGGACAACGCGGATCCAAGCTAAATTCCACCATCCTGTCGGGCTAAGGTGGTCTGGCGATTTCTTTCCTCTTCCAAACGCCCTTTGCTTTCCAGGAGGTTTACCTCCTCCCTCCTCCCTGTTTTTCCAGACAGTCCTGTGGTGTTGGGTCCTCGTTCTGAAGAGACAGCGCCCCGGTCTCACCTCACCTCATCTCCCGAACTCCTCCCTATCCTCTCTCCTCCCATCCCTACCTTTGCTCTCCTTGCGGCGTCATCACCATCACTATCGTGGGCGTCATCGCCATCATCGTCGGCACCATCGCCATCATCGGCGTCATCAACATCGCCATCGTCAGCGTCGTGCCTCTGTTCTCCGCATGTTTGTTTTTTTTTTTGCACGTCTCTGCATGGACGCTCAGGCCGCACCTGGCAAACATCAATTTCGCTTGCACTTCTGACTGATGCGTTTTCCCGGCAGCCCGCAATCCCAGCATCAGCCCCCAAGCAAAGGCCCGCATCTCAACACCATCAGGCGTACCGAACAAGCTACCTCGATCGCCGTGCACCTGAATGGTCTCAAAACGTCCACACACGTAGAGGAGCAATCCTGCGAACGATTGTCACTCCGCCGTGCCCTTTAAGGGCCTCTTCGTCAGCAACGGGTTTTGGCCGGCTCGTCCAAGCAAGAGGCACGTCAGACAGCCAGCGTTGTTTAAAAAGTGACCTCGGAACGTGGCCAGGCGGCCGCTGTGGATTACCCTACAGCGTTCACGCCGATGTCAGGGCGGACGAAGAAAGAGGAAGGAGGAGAAGGAGGAGGAGGAGAAACGAGGCGCCTCTGTTCTCCGAGTGCCCACCATTTCGGCACACCCCTCACACGCTTCGTGGCCCCACAGGGAGCTCCACCGAAGGCTCCAAAAAGCAGGGTCCGCATGCGTCAACGCCACCAATTCTGGCGCACCCGCACACCGTTCGTGGCCCCACATGGATCTCCACCGAAGGCCCCAGTGGCAGGGTCCGCATGCAGTTCCACCCCCATGTCGGCGCGAACCTCATAAGGTTCGTGGCCCCATAGGGTGCTCCACCGAAGACCCAAGCGGGAGGGTCCGCATGCAGTTCCACCCCCATGCCGGCGCTCCCCTCACACGTTTCGTGGCCCCATAAGGTGCTCCGCCGAATGTCCCAGTGAGAGGGTCCGCATAGAGCTCCACCCCATCTCGGCGCACCCCTGGCGCGGCTCGTGGCCCCATAGGGAGCTCCGCCGAAGGCCTCGGTGGCAGGGTCCGCATGCACTTACACCTCCATTTCGGCGCATCCCTCACACGCTTCGTGGCCCCATAGAGAGCTCCACCGAAGGCACTGGTGGGAGGTTCCGCATACAGCTCCACCCCATCTCGGCGCACCCCTGACGCGGCGCGTGGCCCCATAGGGAGCTCCGCCGAAGGCCTCAGTGGCAGGGTCCGCATGCAGTTGCACCTCCATTTCGGCGCATCCCTCACACGTTTCGTGGTCCCATAGGGTGCTCCACCGAAGGCCCCAGTAGCCCGAAAAGGGCGCGATTTCGCCGTCAATGAGCACCGCCTGCGTGTCCTTACCAGGGAGAGGCAGCTTGCCGATGTCGCCTGGAATCAAGGTCTTGCCGGCGCTGGTTGGCGCGAGGTCCGCAATCAGCCTGAGCTCACGCGCGCGCCCAGGCGGGGCGCTCCCCCCAACTCGCGGGCCCCGAACGCGCCATTGCCAAGCCGTCTCCCGTGGGCCACGGGAGTGCGCTCTTCCTCTACTGTGGCAAATAGCCCTCCGCTGAGCAGCTGCTCGGCGAAGAGGCCCGACTAGTCATCTTTGCAGTGCGCTCTGGCTGAGGCCTACTCGGGCAACTGCTCGAGCGGCTGCGCGAACTGCGGCTCTTGCCCCATGGCCGCGCGCGCCGAGGGGTTGCAAAAGTCGACGGCCTGGAACAGGAGGAGGAGGAGGAGGACCAGACCAGACCAGACTCCTATGGGGGCATGAATCCACTTCGTGACACACTAGGCGCCCTAGGATCAACATAACTGCCGCGATTTCGGGCCTCCGCCCGCCCTGAGTTCCCAGGGCATCAGAACCCTAAACAACTACCGAAACACAACACACTCTGAAATCAAAAAAGCGCAGCCGGCCCCGAGAGACTTTCCCAGGCCAGAATCACGGAACGACTGAACAACAGACCTGCACACGCTAGACAGGAGGAAGAGGAGGAGGAGGAGGAAGAGAAAGGAGAGGCGGCCTGACAGCGGCAGCCGCGGGGCCTCAAGACGCGAAGCCGTAGTAGACGCAGCCGTGCGCGTAGCCCTCGTACCCCCCGTTCAGGACGGCGTCGGAGCACGCGCGCAGGCCATGGAAGTAGCACAAATTCACACGTACTCAGTGTACAGCGCACAGCGCGACATCGACTCTCAACTTCACCAATGA